GAATTGTATTTCCCATGCTACAGAGGAAAGAAAACCCTCCACAGTGCATGTTAATCCAGTCTAGGGGAAAAATTCCTTCATGAGCCTGGATTTGGAGTTTGCAATGACTCTGGGTGGAAGAGCAAGACTCTCTAGTCTGGTGGTTTTCAACCTTTTTTGCACCAGGACCACAGGGTTCGAATTACATCCTGACTCTTGGCAGAGGGGAGGGGTGAGGAGGAGGGGTGTCTTTGGTGGTGGCAGCCGGAAGGAGCTGCAGCCACTGCTGTTTGAGGCGTGGGGTGGGCTGGGGAGCTCTCATTTCTTATGTGGGGGCTCAGCCGTAATTTGAACCCTTCTGGACACATTTGTAAACATTGATGGCCACTCGTAACTCAGAAAACAGCTCCCTGGTCCTGCCAGTGCCCCTCACTCCCAAACCGCTGCCTCCCACCCCCAGGTCCTAGCCCCCAAGTGTGTGGGGCACGGGGGTCCCCAAGCAGCCCCTTGCAGGCTGCAACTCTGCTAGCCTGCAAGGGAAAACCCATGGTTTGCCATGTTTTTCTCCTCTAATGGAAAATCCTTTTTGGAAGTTCATTGATTTATTTTTAAAGTTTGTATGTGACCCTTCCATATATTCTTGCGACCCACTTAAGGATTGTGACCCATGGGTTGAGAAACACTGCTCTAGTCAGGAACCTCTGGGTTTTGTAGTACAAGCAGGACCAATAGTGCTCTCCAGTAAAGAAACTCCATCCTTAACTGTATGCTTTTTAGGACAAAGGCTATTTATACCGTGTCTAGTACTATAAGACCCGTATCCTGATTTCTGGTCTTGGACACGTCAGTCTTAACAATATTTAAGAACTCTTTAATCGGTGGTTTCTATTCAGCTTTCTTGCACTATCCCAAGAATCATTTGGCTCTCACTTTTGTCGACAGTAGACGAGTCAAGAACTGAATGGGTATAAATACCAAATTTGCCTTTCATTTAGGTATTGTTAACACCTCTTGTTGGACTTGTGAAACACTGGCAGGGTGAGTTGATGAGTGTGTGTTCATATACTACCTATATTTTCTGGACAGCCTGAATGATACATTACTTAAAAATGTTTTCAGACGTCCTGTTTATTCTACAGCAATGGCTTCTTAGAGTAGCTAGTTGCTGTAGTGATAGCCTACCCATAACTGTAAGTAGTTTTAAACAAAATTTGAAAAATAAGTTTTATAAAAGCCAATAGAACTGCCATTGAGAATGTAATTGTTCTTAAGTTAGTTCTTTCTGCTTTTCTTGTCTTTTATGAGAAGAAGGGATGTTACAGTTGTAAACTGTTCTTGGGTAGTTTGTGTAGAAACACGTGGTGTCAAAATGCTGGCTTGAACAAAATCTGTTTTTAAAGTTTACATGGATAGTAGGGTAATAATATTGCACTTGGAGCTCCTTTTCATAAGACATGTGCATTGCTTTGGTATGGATATTCTTGTTACTTGTTCCCCTGGATCTAAAGTCTATTCTAATTGTGAGGTTTTCCTATGTTGGCATGTTAGTGGTCCCTTGACTCAAGTCAGAAGTGTGTGTTTTTTTTCAGTGGAGTTTTCTGGCTAGAAAAGAACACCTGTATTTCCTATGCTGATGGCTTTTCATAAAAATGAAGTTTTAGTATTGGATCAAAGAGATTTTATAAGAATAGCAATTTGTGGTTTTATTATATATTAAGCCAGCCAAGCATCTAATCCACATCAATTTGTTAAACTCTGCTTCAAGCTTGATTTATAAGAAAGGATCAGAGTTCTGATATGAGGAGCAGCTAACTGAGCATTTTGGGTCACTCCGGATTTTTTCTATGAAGGTAAATGGTACATAGAGTTCAAACTAATTATCATTAACAATTGTTTACACATGGCGAGCAGATAAAGGGAACGGGATGTAAGAAGTGGTTATAAATAATCTCAATAAGGCAGGTATTGCACTGCAATATTTATGTTCACTCTCAGGTGTGTGATCATTATATTGTTTAATAGAGCAGTATATTTATGCATTTTCCCTTTTTCAATTTGTGTAGTCAAAAAGACTTAAGTTTTTTCTTTCTCTCATTTTGTTCATAGTACACCTGAGATGTATCTGAGTACTGAAGCTCATACACACACAACCTGTAGAACTGTTTTAACTGCCTCATTGAGTCTTGGTAAGTTATATTTAAATTACACGTGTTATGTTAATGATGCTGTTAGTTTTTTCTTCAGTAGGGAATTTGATACTGACATGAGGTGTTTTGAACTTAGTTGTGTAAGGTATAGACAGATCCTTCTTTTAGGTGACAAACATGTTCATATCAACACAGTAAAAGTATATAAAAGGACTTTCAGAAGCTTCTCTTAAAATATTGGCCTGATCTACATGTATGATTATAGACTACACAGTTGAGCATAGATTTCAGGATGAGGTCCTGTGTTGAAGGAAGAAAGAAAAAGTATATACTGAAACTGCTGAAGATGTAATATACTTAAACATTATAGCAACTGAACACATTACCCACTAGCTCAGTGGGGCCTAATCTTTTTGATAGTTGTACCATAATAGCCCCATGCCCTCCCCTCCCCTTGCCCAATTTGCTGCTCTGCTTTCTGCTCCCTGCTCTATCTGCCACTGTGCTGCTTGTCCCACCCTGATCTTCTGTGCACTGCACAGAGGCTGCTTGTGGTGCACATGCTGCAGGTTGGCCACCACTACACTAGCTAATGAGCTGACATTTTTTTCAGATGGACTAATTATGGTCTGTCTTGTAGCAAAGCCTGAGTTGAAATGATACAAGCCTTTTCTGTCTATCCTGCCTAATAAACTACTTTAAATTATGACTGAACCAGATAAAATAACACTGATGACGTAAAGTACTTACTACTCAGGAATGATGGTCTGACTACTCCTTAAGGCAGCAATATGCCTATTTATTCTTTTCTCAAGAAGGGGTATTGCTACTGAGAATAAGTAAAAAGGGACCCCCTATAGATTATTTTAAACTGATAATACTTTGGTAGTTTAACAAGCATAGTAGACAATAAATGCTTTGTTTCATTTTAGATTGCTTTAATATTAAAAATGACTATACAACCATGTATAGTTTTATATAAAAATCTTAGAGATTTTCTTTTTATGTGAGATTTGCATGAAAATGTACCCTTTTTTAACATACTGGAGAAGGACATTAGTGTGTGTTTTTTGAGAATTGCAGGTGCAAACATACAGAAGGGACTGGATTGGAGGATTTTTTGCAAGTCTTACTGTATGTTGCAGTTTTAAAAATGTTGAAAGCTCACAGGCAAAATATGTATATCTGCACTGAGTATTGCTTCCTCTTTTGCAGTCAAGTTAACCAGTTTTTGGAAAACAAAACAAAAAATATTTTTTTTTATACTAACTTGTTTTTGTAGCACTAATAAATTAAAGCAAAAGATGTCCAGATCAAGTGGCATTATACTAACTTTGCTTTTGCTTTGTTCAGTATTATTTAAAAAAAATCTTAGGTTAATCTCATTAAGCAAAGGTGTTATTGACCTAGTTTTGTCAATTTGAAAATACTGTATGACATACAGCAAGGAAAACTTGAATTGTATGATTCTGGGAAGCTCATTATTTGGAGTGCATAATGATTATAATATGTAGGTTGATGGGAAAGAGTAGATTCTGTAATATATCTGTTTTGAACGCTTTAGCAGTGCCCTACATTTAAAAGAAAAAATAAGGGAAGATATTAAAGTATGTATGGTATTTTGCAGTTTGTTAAAGTTTATTTTATGTTAGCACAATGTATATACCTGATAATAAATAGAGATAAAAATTACGCTACCGTAGTACTCTGGATTCTGAAGAGAGTGTAAATTTGTGATGGTTCAGGTTTGACAGCGTGTATGCAGTCATATAAATGGAATCCTGGTCCTGTAGCCACTCGGTTAAACGGGGACTAATGTAGATCAAGATTGAAAATGAAGGCCATTTGAAGAAAAATAGTTTACTCTGTATATAATTGTTTTCCTTTAATTCTTTATTCTCTCTCTCTCTCTCTCTCTCTCTCTGTCTCTCTTCCTCTCTCTCTTTAATAAAACCATTCTTTTATTTGGTCCTGCTTCTTTTGGTCTGCTTTGTTCTGCACTGAGGTTATAAGCTCATTTAGTTGTTATAGTACCAGAAATAAATCAGTACCTTTTATAAGTTCTGGATAAAACAAAGTCACTGTTTGAGGAGCTTATAACTTGGACCAAAAGCAAGTAAGAGGCAGCAATACAAGCTATGAGTTTATGGAGACAACAGTGAGGAGGAGATCACTGTAAGAAGAAATGGGCTTGTAGGGATGGATTTGAAGGACAAGAATGGTGAGCTAGACAAGAGATATATCTACCTATCTATAGGTATCTGTGGGGAAGATATCTTATCAGTGCAGATGCATGCTGAACTGGAAGGCTACTGAGTAAAAAGGCTACTCAGTAAAAAACAATGGAAATTCTGTCATTTGCTTCAGTGGTACCAAAATTCATTCATTGTCTTTGTGCTGCTCAGTCTCGGACATGTATTGGAGGACTGGAGGGTGGTTAATACTACGCCTTTTAAAAAAAGGTTTGAATTAGGAAATCTGCAGGCCAGCTACTCTCCAAAACTGTTCTAGTGACTGCAGTTTGATTACTGAAGAATGGTAAATCAGCTGGAATTTATATTAGTTTAATGGATACTAAGAACAACCAACTCACTGCCTTACCTATGACTTCAGATAAATATACAGCGAGTAAATTCTATTATTGTCCCTATATTTAAATGGTACTCTAGTATGTTTTGTTTTGAAAATATCATTTAATATTAATCTATAGTCTCTTTTTCATCTGGGCAGGTTAGTTACTGAAAAGTAAAATGTCAGAATGAAACTTCACTGAAGACTGTAGTATCAATAAGAACTTGATTCTTATAGTCCTTAAGTGGTTTTAGAATGTGGGTATATACATTGTGGGCTACACACCACATAGGCCATTCATGGTGGGGGCAGGCCCTTTCTGTGCAGGCATTGCGTTGCCTCCCTGTGGTGTGGGCCATGCTAGTGGCATGCAGCCCCCTGCCGTGCCTTCACGTGCCCTCCCCTGCCACACAGCTGTTGGACAGCCTTTGTTTAAATGATTGAAGTTTGCTGGTACTCCCTCCTGGTTTGGGTCTGGAACCAGGACCTGTTCATTAATGACAGAGTCCAGACATTTGTCTGTACAATAGCAATAGCTAAAATACTAAAACCACAAGTTAGGCATACTTTAACGGGAATTTAAATATATTTAGGAATCTTTCTGTTTTATTGATTTATTTATATCTATCTATTCAGATAGGTATAGGTATTGAATGTTAATAAAAGAAGAAAGATTCATTATGTGTTGCTATTTAGAATGCTGTCACCAATTCTGAACACCTTGCATTCGGACCTAAATATAGATTCTGAAGAATAATAAAATTAGGCAAGTTTTATTCAAGCTAAGTAAATAAGAGACTATAGAAACACTAGCCAATTGCCTGTCAAGAATGATGGGGGGAGGGGACTGTGATGGAGTGCTGCCACCTAATGCCCCATGCTGCTGCTGTTCTGCCTCTTGCAGGGAGTGGGGTTGGGGAGTTGAGGCCAGCGCTGCTGGCTTCCGGTCCCCCCCCC